TTACTAACAAACTATACATTTTAAATGATGGAATGTTTTCGTGTCATATACACTTTAAGTAAAATACGTATAAAATATTTAAGTTCATTGAGATGCTGACTCGAGGTCAAGTTTTAACCGTTCTTTTGGATTTCCAGAAACGCAGGAAGTGACTGTCAATCATAGATTCGAAGCTCCTCCCCCTTAACAATAGAAATGTTATGGAAGGTTTGCTCTCGATTCTTTTCTACGGTGACCTCGACCAATCAGAGTCTAGTTATGGGAAAAGCCCTGCATTCGAACCCATTGTTTGGAAGCATATTAAAGTCTACTTTCTACAGAAAAACTAGAAAGGATAAAAACCTCTACTAGACTTGCTGCAAAGCTGAAGGAATATATAATATCAGGGACAGATTGCAGGCTGTATTCAAGGTACAATGCTAAACCTATACTCGAATAACTTCACTATATATCACTGCACTATATGCCCAGTAGAAAAACCAGAATATTAAAATAAATATTAGTTTGTATTTCCATGTTTAAAATGCAAAATTGCTCCAAGGAAATTCGATGTAAAAAAGTAATGAAGAGGAAATAAGAAAGGCTCGAACAAGTATTCAGAATTATTCGTAAGTCGGTTTTGGAATTGAGCGTCGAGGGTCGCAGAATGAATAGGTTAAATACTGTCCTAGACTTACACCATAGGATCAAGATATCTATTTGTATGCATCACTGATCGAAATGAAATCTATTCGATATTGCAACCAGTGCCTTATTCAGTACTGATGAGGCGGACAGAACTGTGTACAGACTTGAATTGTACATAGTAATGTTCCAAAACCTTTTGTCTGCAAATGATAAATAAATGCATTATTATTCATCCCTGATGCAGGCTGCATAATCTCAGACAGCTGAAAAGGTCGCTGTATCTTCCATAATATATACATATATTTATAGATTTAACGAAGCCGTCTTTACTGAACTAGATAGATCAAGTGGTCCGCAGTGATGGGTATGCCCACCATGGTTACCCACAAGCTAGTGTGCGGCGGACTGCAGTCGATCCTTCATCAGGCACCCTGTTCCGAAATAGATGCTCAGGCTGCACGTTGTTTGACCAGTAAAAGACGTATTATTCTCTTAAATATTGCTTCTTTAATTATATTACTATTTTATCGGGATTTGGTCGGCATTATTGATTAGGTCGTTACCTACACGAACTGATATGAGGTTTTAACGGATTATTGCCGCAGAAACAATTGTGGAAAAAGACTTGTATTAAGTAAGGAGTGACTTATCTAAGTATTTTATTCATGGTAGTCAAGGCGCAGTAAAGGTTTTTGTTTTGTGATAGCCAAGTGTTTGTTACTCCCGCAGTGTGAGTCGGGAAGGCTCTTCAAAGTGCATGACTTTAGCCGTTGTTTTTGCCTATTTACACATGAATCGTTTATAGCATTACGAGAGAAACTTTCCCTTTCGATGGTTATCCTTGATTCTCGTAGGATGTCTGAGATTTTTTTCGCAGACCATATAGAGTATTTAAGAGTGGCTGTCCGTAACGGTCGAGAATGGCGGGACAGCGAAGGAATTTTCAAATTTCTCATATTTTGTCAGAAGACACCCTTTGGTAAGCTCTTTTAAAAAATCCAGTTTAAAACTTCAAGCGCTTTTTTATTTTGGCGAATTTTACGAAAATCTAAAACTCGACTTC